GGACCTAAGCCCTCTCACCCTTTCCATTGATTTTCTCGCATCAACACTCATCATTTTGTGACGGCAGCAAGAAAACAAACTGTTTTGCGTATCATTCCGAGATGAAACAGCATCGAAAACTACACAGCAGATGGCCGATCTCATTAGCGAATGGTGTCAAATGATATTGTTATTATAGCAGCACTACGTTGTGTTGTTTGCTTATGGTTTGCTATGAGTTGCACCGAATACAATTAAATGCGCCCATTAATCAGTGACACTACAAAATCTCTAAAGATTTTCTAAAAAAGATTTTATCATAACACGATGTGATGATCGATTTGCCCAACAATCGGCTGGCTGCCTATCCCAGCCAGCAAAGGACGATTTCTGCCTAAAGGGTGCTGCTGCTGCTGCTGCCTGCATATGTATCATGAACGTGTGCGGTAATTAGAACATACATTGAGTTTGTCGATAATGCGATAATTAGCATGTTAATTAGACACTGCTGCTGCAGTTAACAAAACTGATCATATCATAATGATAATGACCAGTTTGATGAAAATGAGGCGCATTCAAAGCTATCATCAAGGAAAGCGCCTAATTAAGCAGCTATCATCAATTACGACATGAGCAATCAGACGTTCTGCGGACTGAATGGTGATATAAATTCCTCGATTTAACAACAACGACAACACATCACTGGACTGGTCGTCCAGAACGTCGCATTACCAAATCATCGCCTTAAGAACGGCTATCTTATGTGCGCGAACTTAAGCAATTTCACTCTCGATTTCACTGCGCTAAACGGATAGAATTCAGAAAGTTGTGCCATAGTTTATTTTGAAAAATTGACCGAAATTATTTCAAAGTGCTTCTTTATGACACCCTTTCCAGTGTAAATGAATTTCACCACCAGATAAATGGAATAAAATCAAATCATGCAAACAACAATTCACATGTCTCCATATCAATTGCTCATCAATGTTTTCCCTCTCTCTAATATCATCTATTATGCGTTTTATATTCTCCACAAATTCTTAACCTTTA